TTAGAGGAAGAGTTTTCACCTTTTCACCATTGAGTATATATTAGCTGTGGGTTTGTCATATACAGCCTTTATTATAATATATTGAGGTATGTTCCTTCCATACCCACTTTGTTGCGAGTTTTTATCATAAAAGAATGATGAATTTGTCAAGTGCTTTTTCTGCATCACTGAAATGATCATATGATTTTTATCCTTTATTTTGCTGATGTGATGTATCACATTGATTGATTTATGGATGTTGACCCATCTTTGCATCCCTGGGATAAATCCCACTTGGTAATGGTGTATAATCTTTTTAATGTATTGTTGAATCTGGTTTGCTAATATTTTGTTGAGAATTTTTGCATCTAAGTTCATTAAGGATGCTGATCTTTAAGTTTCTTTTTTTGTAATGTCTTTGTCTGGTTTTGGTATCATGGAAATGCTGGTTTCAAAGAGTGAGTTTAGAAGCACTCCTTCCTCTTTAACTTTTTGAAATAGTTTAAGAAGGATAGGTATTAATTCTTTTTTAAATGTTTGGTAGAAGGTCGGCCGAGTGGCTCAGTTGGTTAGCGTTCACTCAAGAGTGTAAGCTCTGAGCAACAGGGTAGCCAGTTCAATACCAGGCCCGAGCTGAGCTGCCACTGAGCTGCCAACAGGTGGCAGGATGGCTCAGCTAAAAAAATAAAAAATAAAAAATAAATAAATGTTGGTAGAATTCACCTGTGAAGTTGTCTGATCCTGTAGTTTTTGTTGTTGGGAGTTTTTTTTTTATTACTGTTTCAATTTAATTACTGGTAATAGGTCTGTTTAGATATTCTATTTCTTCATGGTTCAGTCTTGGAAGATTATATGCTTCTAGAAATTTATTAATTTCTTCTTGAATTTTTGGCATATAATTATTTGTAGTATTCTTTAATGATTCTTTGTATTTCTGTGATGTCAGCTGTAACTTCTCTTTCATTTATGATTTTATTTACTTGGGATCGCTCTTTTTTTATTGATGAGCTTGGCTAATGGTTTGTTAATTATGTTTATCTTCTCAAAGAAACAACTCTTAGTTTTATTGATATTTTCTATTGTTTTTTATTTCTATTTTATTTATTTCCACTCTGATCTTATTTCCTTCCCTCTGTTTACTTTGGGTTTTGTTTATTCTTTTTTTTCTAGTTTCTTTAGGTGTAGAGTGTTTATTTGGGACTTTTCTTGTTTCTTGAGGTAGTTCTGTATAGCTATGAACTTCCCTCTTAGAACTGCTTCTGCTGCATCCCATAACTAGGATCACTTTTGGTACCAATTATTTTAGATTGAATTTTCTTGAAGCAGAACCAAAATGAGAATGCTTATTCAAGTCATTTACCAAAGGAGTAACAGAAGCAAGATTGGGCAGGGACAGAAGCTAAGCGAGAATGTGGTCTTGGCTGGACACTAGCTTTAGACTGACAAAAGAGATAGTTGTGAGTTATCGACCAACATTTATAGTAGCTGGGGGTTGGCAGCTATCAGAGGTAGGTAAAAGGAATATGGGCAAGGCATCAACAGTATCCAATACTTTAACATTCCTAAATATTTAGGGGTGAGCCTCTGATCTTTAGTCCAACACTGTCACAACCCTATTGTCTAACTCACAGAGTCTTTTGAGTGTGGGTTACAATGGTGCTTCCATGTCAAGCTTGGGCTTGGAAGTCTTGGCAAGGCCGGTAGCCTCCCACATTATGGCCATATTCCCTAGATACACTAGGGTTCATGAAGGATCAGGATATGGTTTCTTATATCCATGGAACTAACCGAACTATCATCCCTTTCCCATCTAAGAAATTTCTCTCCCAAGAGAAATACAAAGCAAATCTCTCTTCTGAATGTCTCTTTTATAAATAAGGAAATTAAGGCTTAATGAATTTTACACTAAGATTGGAAAGGTAGAGCTAGGATCAGAGTTAGGTGTTGATTTACAGGACTCCTATTACACTAGAGGTCAGCAAACTATGGCCCATGGGCCAAATCTGTCTCTCTTCTCCCTCCTCACCTGCTTTTGTTTTATTAGAACATAGACATGGTCACTTGCTTATGTACTGGCTATGACTGCTTTTTGTGCTATAATGGCATCATTGAGTAGTTGTGACAGACACTGTATGGCCTGCAAAGCCAAAAATATTTACTATCTAGCCTTTTACAGAAAAAGTTGGCTACAACATGCTGTTTCTGGAACCTCCACAGACACTTTTGCTATTCCAAGACTCAGTTATTCTAAGACTTTAAGTGGCGGAGAAATTCTCCCTGATTCCTAGTGAGATAGTACAAGTTAGGTCTTGAAAATCCACTTTCTTGTATATTAACAAGAAGTCAGGAGAATCTCTGGTGTGACTTAGCTAGAGAAGATTTCAAATGAGTCCTAGAGAAGAGAGGGATAAGCCTACTTAAAAGATCCTTGGTCCTTTTTAAAAAGATTGTGGATCTTCCAGTTCAGAATTCTGCAGCCTTTGTGAATGAATGAATGAATGAATGAATATTGGTATGTATGAAGGAAAAAGGTCTGGAAGGATACAGATATCTGGTGGGTAGTTAGTTACCTTTGGTGGAAGGAGAGGTGTTTAACTCTACCTTTTTCTGTAGTGTGTGTGTGTGTGTGTGTGTGTGTGTGTGTAGTATAACTACATACTTTTGCAATTAAAAAACACAAACACACACAATGACAGAGAAAGAGGGAGAAAAAGAAAGGCTTGAGAAAGGCTTCCCAGTGGTCTTTAAGAAAAGGATTTCTAGGATGATGGATGCATCTGTGTTCATAGTGGGATGGTTGACTTAATGACCTCCTTGCCCCTGGCATCCATCCCATGATAGATGGGCTGCCCCAAACTCCTCAGGGTCTATGTTCCTTCATGGGCAGAGAACTGGAAAAAACATTCAGAATAGAGTAAGGGCTACAACTTTCTGCAGAAGCAAACTGATTGCATAGTTGTGTTTGAGATATAATTGCAACTGTGTTTCTGTTTCTCAGGAAGCTAGTATGGCTGGTATGAAGACTGAATTGTGGATGTCAGAAATCAATCATGGAATATTTCAGCTTTTTCCAGAATGGCTGCAAGATATAAAGAGATGGCTGTACTTTTTCCTATTTTAAAAAAATGAGTAATGCACGTGCATTGTGAAACATTCAAACAATACAAATGTGTATAAAATAAAAAGTGAAAGACCTCCCTTCCAATCACTCTTACCAGAGGTAACAACTACATATAATTTGAGGTTAGAACATCTGTAAATATATCTTTTTCCACTCATATTCAAAAAACAAAATGGCATCATGCTACACATAGGAGTGGATTTTTATTTTTACTTAATATAGCTGGGCCACATGGAATATATGAGTATATTTAGATTCATTTTATTCTTTTTAATGGCTGCATAATATTCCACTGCATGAGTGGATCACACTTTATATAACAATTTCTCTATTTATGGACATTTCAGTTGGTCCTCCTCCCCTTTCTTCTTTTTTGCTGTTGCAGTGCTGCAATGAAAATCTCTGCATACAGATATTTAGGTATTATGTGTGTGCATATATTTGTTTAGGACACATAAAAAGTTATGTACATTTAAAATTTAATAGATACTCAATTGTCCTCTATAAAAAGGTCATGACAATTTACAATCTCTCCAACAATTTATAATTTCTTAGTGCTTCTTATTTCTCATTTTCCTAACTACTGTTAAGGTTGTGGATCATTCCATTTATTGGCTATTTGTGTTGGTTCTTTTCTGAATTGCATGTTCTTAACCGTTGGCCATTTAAAAATCATGTTATTTTCCCCCCATTGACTTCTAAAAATAAATGCCTTTTAAGTTACAGATATTAACTATTTCATATATTGAAACACATTCTCAATTTATACAACAGGTGCCCAAAAAAATGTATACATATTTTAAGAAAGGAAAAAAAAACTATTAAAATTGTAATACTCAATATACACCGATAACAAAAGATGAATACACATCACGTGTATACATTTTTTTGGCACCTCCGATATTTATGTTTGAACATTATGATGACTTTCACCATATACAGAGTTTATGTAGCCAAATTGTCAATCTTTTCCTACACTGTTTCTGGGTTCCCTGTCATGCTTAGAAACACATGTCCCTTCCAAACATCATCAAATTATTCTTTTTTCTTCCATTGTTTTAATGATTTTAGTCTTCATGCTTATATCTTTAACTCAAGCATATTTTATTTCTGTGAAACATGTAACTAGGGTTCCTGTCAAGTTTATTTTTCTCCAATATGGCTTGCTGGGTTTTTGGAGACATTTTACGGAGCAACAGCCACCTAAGGACATATGCCTTTTAGATACTCACATGTGATAGGTACTTTACATATAGTGCGTGATTTCATCCTCAAGCGAGTTTTAAACTCTTAATTTAGATATAAAGAGACTGGGTATTACATAACGTAAGCGGCCCATAAAGCCGGCATTACACTAGACCTGACGGCCAAGAGACGAACGGAAATTAATAGCCCGACGCCACGCCCACTTTCCAACCTCTCGCGACAGTTGTACGTCATCAGAGAGCGCCAGGGGCCGGGGCAGTCGCGCGGCTTGCGTAAAGCGAAACTACGGTCCGCAGTGCTGTCTCACGGGTGAGGCCGAGAAGCCTGCGAGTCCCGTTGTCTGTCGAGCCTGCAACCCCCGGCGTCCCGCCATCATGGAGTACCTCATCGGCATTCAGGGCCCCGACTATGTCCTTGTCGCCTCCGACCGGGTGGCCGCTAGCAACATTGTCCAGATGAAGGACGGTGAGAGGAAGCCGGGGAGGCCCGGCCAGGCCTGGGTATAGGGGCAGCCCGGAAGAAGTTCGTGGGGTGGGGGTTGAGTACCAGGGATGTCTGGGAGGTGGAACCCCGCCTGCCCTGATCTGCACTTGCTTATTTTTTTATAATTAGGAAACAGGCGGACAAGCTCAGGGCTTTAACATTTGCTCCTTCCAGTGCTCTCAGGTCTGCGCTCTCCTCTGGCCTTCGCTAAAAGCTTGCTAGGCGACAGTTGCCTAAGGGAATTCAGTTTTTAAGTGTTTAAGTGCCTACCGGGCACCAGGCTTTTTAGACCTCAGAATCTCTGATGAATTTCCTGTTGCTTCTAATGAGGTTAGATTGCTCGCAGAATAAGATGGATTCTGGGTTGAGTGAGACGGTGTGACTAGAAACTTTATTTCTCTTCCGCTGCCTGAATCCTCCCGTATCTCAATTCTGATCCTCCTCTTCCAGTTTTCCAGGGCACTGGCTGTCACATTTTTATTATATTTAAGTAGTTAGGGGAGTTCGGAGACTATAGCCCTAGTCACTTATTTGCTTTATGACTTTGTACAAATTATTTTGCAGTGCCCCCAATTTCCTCATCTGTTAAATTAGGTTGTTAATACTCACCTCACAAGCTTGTAGGGAGGATTGAATGAAAGTTTTGTGCAAATGCTTAGTGCAGTGGCAGATACTTATTAGTAGTAATAATACTAAGCACTTACGTATCAGGTGCTGTTTTAAGCAATTTACATTAACTTGTTTAACTTTTTGAGGTAGGCACTATTATATTGCCACTTTGGAGATGTTAGTTTTGAGACGTAGAGGTTAAGAAATTTGCCCAACGTCACAAGTTGCAGAACCTAGTTTCGAACCTATGCAGTTCGACTCCATATCTTTTACCCATAACTACTATACATACTGTCTCCCAGTAGTCAGTATTCAATAAATAATTGTTTAAAGATTTTTGGTTGTTGATCTGCGGAGTCTAAGAGTGTGTTTTCGTGATTGACCATAGACATGTTACTGTTGAAAAAGTATTATGCTTTGGCTCAGATGACTTAATGTTCACGTGACAAATAGATTTGGGGCACCTATGTACCCTTTGTAGTGCTAGGTGCTGATGGGATGCAAAGAAGAAGATGTGGCCTGTATCTTAAAAGAAGTTGCAGTTTAACAAAGGACTCAGATATGTATACAGATAATTATAGCACAAGCTGAAAAATTATGCTGCATGTGAAAAGTACAATCAAACTTCTCAGGTAGTGCAGAGGAAGAAGAGATTGTTTTTTAGGTAATCCAGAGGAAGAAGAGATTCTTTCTGGTTGTAGAGCTTAGGGAAAGCTTTGAGGGGCAGAGAATAGTTCATTTTGGGTTTAAGGAAAGAAAAATTATTAAACCTAGAGTTTCTTGAAGTATGTGAACAAAGGGAAAAAGTGTCCACCACTGGTTGTGTGACAACCTGTCAGGTTTTCATCACTTGGGGAGATGGAAAGAACTCTGAGGGACTTTGCTTGAGTTCTGTTACTTCAGAAGAAAAAAAGAGAGAATGAAGGTGGTTTGTTAAACATCTGTGCGGTATGGATTGTTCTGTAAGTCAAATTACTGTGTGAAATTCCATGATTAGTTTGTAGAAGTTCTATTTAAAAACCATGCTTTCCAAAGGAGTAAATTTGTTTTTAGAATAAATCTGTCCATTATTTTGAATACTAAGACCTTTGACATGCAAGAGATTTTGGCATGAAGTAGTGTCTAAGTAGAGCAATAACCAAGTCAATACCTTTACAGGTGTTCTGTTTCATCATATATAATGTATGTTAAATCACTTCAAAAAGTAGAATGTGCGATAATAAAGGGATTAGCAAAAAAAAAAAAAAAGTAGAATGTGCTTTAAGCCTGCTTATGTACACAGTACTTCTAGGTGTTATAAGGGGTGCAGTGTATTAGGCATAATCCATAGAGTGGTCTAAGACATTAAGAAAACAAGGAAATAAATACTACAAGATGATTTTATATGATAAAAGAAGTATCGGTAGTGTTAGGTTAGCTTTTAAATTGACGATTTCAGGAGTAAATCTTAAGGGTATTCAGAGAAAAGAAAGATCACTGTGGTGTGGAAGAAAGATGCATTTGAGTTAGTTCTTGGAAATGGTTGGAAATAATTACATTCAACTTAGTCTCTAATTTACCCTATAGTCTTTTCTGGTATAAAAAGTTTTGTAATAGGAGCTTTGGAATTGTATGAGAACTTTTTCCTACCTTTCGTTTTGTGAAGGAACTTGTGTAGAGTAGGCAAGGATGCTGAAAATCAGCAACATTTTGGGATTCGTTTTCTCCTAAGTATAAAATGAGAATGATACTGTCTATCAGTGTTTTTGGTTTGTCACTTTGTAAGATATTTTAATACTATAGAGAAGATACTATATTTCCCAGAAATTGCTTGCTTATTTTCAGTTTGGTAATATGCCACATTTCATATCTCTTGTTTCCTGGTCTACATAGAATTGTTCAGAGTACTCCAACACACACAGAATGCTTTTTTTTTTCTTCCTGGATTCTTGTAGCATGTACAATCTGAACTACATTGTCTAACACTGAGTCTAATAATATTGTACATGCACAGTTTTCCCCACCTATGAATTAGGTAGCAATTAAATCGTGGTACCATTTTATACTAGGGCTTAGAGAGGGCAAATAATTTAACCAAATTCAGAGTGTTGAGCCCAGATTATAAATAACTAAGGTCTTCTGGGTTCTAGTCCAGTTGGCTTTCCACAGAATGGTACACTGATGTTCATTTTGTTGTCCATTTGTTTCATGTATGTGGATCTTTCAAGTTCTTTGTCAAGGATCAGAAATTCCCTAGAGCTACATAGGCTGTTTCCTACACAACTCAGGGAGTTGTTCACATCTATCACTTTTGGTTTTTATATCCCCTTTTACTACTCACTAGACATGCAATAAATGTTTAAAAAACACTTTTGACCTTGTATTAAGGTCAACAACTTTTTTCTCATTATGAAAATAATGCAAACTTAAGTAATGTTTTCGTACAAAAACAATGCATATTAACTATAGATATTTTAGGAAATACTGATAAGCAAAGAGAAGGAAAGAAAATTGCCTACACTCTTGCCACTGGCATCAAATACTCTTTTGGTCCTTTTTTTTTGCATAGATAATATAGCTATAAGTGAATTTTTTTCTGTTTTAAACAAGTTTACAAACTAATAGTCTTTAAATCTCCTATAGTCTATTACAAATAAAAGTTGTTTAGGAGTTTAAAGGCAATTTGATTCTACACACGTGTGTGTGTGTGTGTGTGTGTGTGTGTGTGTGTGTGTGTGTGTTTGCAGTCTAAGCCATATTACTGGTATCTACAACTCTCAAATGTTTGTGAAGTATTTGACTGTAGCACTTTGTTCTTTAAATCCTATTAAGGGATTTTGACATTTCAGAAGCTTTCAAATAGGAAACATGTCTCCCAGGGAAGGTCATTCAGCACTATTTGAAAAATGAAAAGTGAAAGTGAGAGATAGGAAGATTTAGGCTTTTTCTGAAGCTGCAGCCTGAATGTGGAGTTTTCTTCCTTAGGCACTATTTATTTATCTATCTAATCTGAATGAGTCTGGTTTAGCTAGATAAGATTAGAGTATTAGGATTTTTGAGGTGTTTTTAAAAAGTTTAGTGTTAAAATATTCGTTAGAGTTTTTGTTTTGGCACTCATATTAATTTTTTCTTTGCTTTGGAAATGAAGGTAGTTTACTTTTTAAATGTGATTTATAGTCTCAGTTGATTTCTTTCTTGAGATGGCTCCTTAATTTTAATTGTAGCACTAGTCCTTTTTATATATGCTTTTATATGTGTAGAAATATAATAATTAATATTTGTAGAGACATTTCAGGGCTTTGCAATTGTGAGCCTAAAGATAATGGCCCTTGGCTTGATTCCTTCAGTTTCTTTTTTTTTTTCTTTTTTTTTTTTTTAGCTGAACCATCCTGCCACCTATTGACAGCTCAGTGGCTGCTCAGCTCGGGCTGGGACTCAAACTGCTGTTGCTCAGAGCTCGCACTCTTGAGCGAGCTCTTAACCAACTGAGCCACTCGACCGGCCCTTCCTTCAGTTTCTTTGATTGGTTCTGTTCTTTGCGTTTCAGATGCCTTTAAATGTTTTTAACTGTATTTTCAATTGTCAGCTTTCATATATATTCTCCAGCTGAAGGTGACGTTAATAAAATATGCCAATGGGTTTTACATGGAAAGTGAAGAGAGTAATTAATTAATACAGTTCCCTATTAAAGTCTTTTAAAAACAGTGATTAGTCAAAATATTCAATGTAGTAATTGTTTATGGTTGCCTATATAATAGGAAATTTCTGATAAGATAATTTCTAACACTCTTTTTCTTTGAGCAGATCATGACAAGATGTTTAAGATGAGTGAAAAAATCTTACTCCTGTGTGTTGGAGAGGCTGGAGACACTGTACAGTTTGCAGAATATATTCAGAAAAACGTGCAACTTTATAAGATGCGAAATGGTGGGTAATACTTAGAATATAGTAGCTTTGGTTGGTTTGTCTTTAACTTTGAACTGAAGGAGAGTATTCTCTACTGGTAGCTCTACACATGAACAGACCAGTGTGGTCATATTTTTATTTGAGTCTTCCTATTTTTGAAACCTTATCTAGACCCTCCTGATTCTAAAGATTTTCTACAAAAATTCCAGAGCAGAAAAGAGAACCATCATAACACAGATACTTGGGGAGGGGGTGGGGGAATCTAACACCATCTTGGAGATGGGCATGGTAATATCAGACTTTGTAAGTGTTAGGTATTTCAAAGGATGTGATTTGAGCTAAAAAGTATATCTGAATCTCAGACCTAAAAGACCTAAGTTAAACTTGGTTTTACTCTTTTTTTATTTGACAAGTCACTTATCCTCTCTGGGCCTTTTATTTTCCTTATCTCTAAAATGGAATTATAATAGTTTTAATGAATAGTATATATGAAAATGCTTTGTAAACTTAAAGCTCTGTGTAATTGTAGGAGATTTACTGTGTCATAAAAGGGCTCTGCCTTGCAGTTCTGGTAGGTTTCTGTCTAGGAAGATAATTATGTTTTTGTGAGTTGTTTTATGTGTTCTCCCTGGGGCTAATGAACTTATCCACTGGGAAAGCCCCATTCAAATAATACTAGCCACCAGTCCTCTGATCCAGAAATGTTTATAGTAACGCTGTACCAGAAAGAACCTTACTTTTAGTTACTTACTTCCCAGTTTAATAACACTGTTACACATAGCACTGGTATAATGTGGAGCTGTGAAGGAACTTAATTTGAACATAATTATATATGAAACATGACTAGGTGTGATCCATTTGTATAGTTTTTTAGGCAGCAAATTTAGCATCGTGCATTTAATTCCATAAATATTTTTTGAGGGCTTCCTCTGTGTTAAGTACTCTGCCTCGTATCATAGAGATATCAAAGGTAAACACGAGGGGCCGGCCGAGTGGTGCGTTGGTTAAGAACTGGCTTGGGACGCCAGAGGGCCCCGGTTCGGATCCCACATATGAAGGCCAGTGACACTGCCTTCCACAGCTTAAAAAAAAAAAAAGGTGAACACGACTCAGTCTCTCTCCTCTCCTCTCCCCCTCCCTCTCCCCTCCCCCTCACCTCTCCCTTCCTTCCCTCCCCTCCCCCCGTCAGGAACCTAAACCACATGTATTTAGATTTAATCAAGCTTAGAATATTTCCAGAGTTATTTTTTAGTGGTTCTTTTTTTAGCCTACATGGCAGGTGAAGGATGCCAGTCATGCTTCTGAAGTATAGTAGGTACAGCAGTACTTCACTGTCCTGTTCTGGGAGAGGGAGGAAGAGTACATCAGAGTGGAGAGAGTTGCTTGTTACATGGGTGTTAGGGCCTAAAGTCAGTGCATAAAACAAAAACCATGTATGGTTAAAATTGCCCTTAAAACCCCTGAAATTACCTGTCAAGTGTAGTTTTGTGTATGTAACCTTACACAGTAATTCTTATGCATATTAAAGTTTAGGAACTGAGCTAAAATAAGAGAAAGAAAAACTATATGCAGATGGCATCAGACTTTTTCTGCTTTTAAGATAACTGTCAAATCATTAATTCTGTTTAAGGGATTAGGTGGAGCATCGGAAGGTATCCCTGCTTGTCCAGAATTGCTTCCATTATGATTTAATATGTGCGCATAGACTTGTGGGGTGAAATTCATTAATATTATATATATGAAAGCACCTAGCATAGGCCCTGAAACATAGTAGCTGTCCAGTAAGTATTTGTTAGAATTTTAATCTAAATCTTACCTGATATGACATTGGTGCTTAAGATGTTGTAGGGAATAACTTAACCACATGCTCTCTTTCCAAACTGGAATTTTCTGTGTGGGTCTGCTGAGTTGTGGGTCATGCTTGTGTCTTTTGGTACTAGTCCCATTTAACCGGGGGTTAAGTTCCAAAGTGAGTGCACTATTAAGTGCACACTTGATGCCATTCCTTTGGGCTGTATTTTTGTTGGCATTACAACCTTTTTTAGAGGTTTTGTGCTTGAGATACTCTTTTTAGAAATGTTGTAGGTAGTGATGGAAACAATATTTTGGTGGCTTGTACTTTTGAAAATTTTACTTTTTTTAAAGATTTTATTGGGGAATTGGAGGAGGGGAACAGTGTTGGGGAATCGGGGAAGGGGAACAGACAAGTTGCTGTCCTTTTGTTCTTCAGTCTAGTTGTGGAGGACATTGCTTCATTGACTCAT